GTTGGATTTTGCGTGTAGGAATAGGCGGATGGGAAAAGATGGCGCCCTTCACTAAGTGTTCAAGTCGAACACAGACAATTTAATTCTTTTGCGATCGTCTCAAGTGATGATTTGCACTTCCGTGCCCATTTATAAAATAAAATAGTTCACATGATAAATACATTTACATCGACGTATTTTAATTCATAATGTAATCACGGAATATGTTTGGAGTCCTATTCCAGATCTAGTTTGACTTATGAAAGAAGCTTTCTGGGCATCTTCTCGATCTTCAGATTCGTTTGCCGAAACGTTTGCTTCTTTTTTGTATGGGGAGTTTTAAATTGTTTATAGTTTAGAATGATAAAAACAATTGATAATATGGAAGAGCCTGTGAAATTTCTGGTAACAAACAACACAATAAAAGGTAAAAAACTTCCTTGCATCCTCCAAAATTTTAGACTAGGAAACAACTTCCTGTAAAAAAGGTCAGAAGCATCATCTCCAATCACTATTGACTGAGTTCGGTCGTGTAGATATGACCTAAACCATTTCCGGGCACCACCTTGAGTGTCATATCGTTCTTGTAATCACTGGGTTATTAACATGGATTGGTCAGTAGTATACAATCTCGACACTCAGGTATAGTATATATATATGTTGTATTAAAGTTTAAACTCCGTTTCTTCTATTACAGTTTGTTTCCTTACAGTAAGTTTATTGATAGCAAAAGAACATTGTGAAACGTTTTAGCTTTTACCCTCCAACATAGTATCAATAAGATTTCCATACATTGATATATTTAATTTGTTAACGCCACATGTTGGCAGTTTTTCCTGCTACCAGAAATCATAATTTCTATTGGCTTTCCAACGCGTATAACTTTTCCTGATAATGAGTACTGAAAAAAAGAATAACAAAATAACAAATTAATTCAACAATCTGAACAAAATTTTTCAAAAATTCCACAAAAAAAAATCCTTGCAATACCTTACAAGTTTCATCAAAATCATTTGAAAATTTGGATCACTTTCAAATTTTGAAGCGTCTTTACTTCGTTGCAATAACACCACAAATAATTTTGATTAATATCTGTCAGTAACTTATTTCTAAATATTGAACAAACAAAAAATATGGCATATGCAATTAAAATACTATACTTTATTCACTGAGATCTAAAGGTTGCAGAAAAACATGTCAAACTGATATGGTTCGTATTTGTATGTCTTCATTCAGTTGCTGTCTTTTTTCAAACCCTAATGGATCTGTTACATTGATAATTACTGTTTTATAATTTGTAAACAACCATCGGTTTTCGCTGACATCTAAACAATATTTCATACATAATCATACATAATGTATAACACATAGTAATACAATTCATTACAAGTGCTCACACTAATGCTGTTTTGTTTAAACATTTACTTTGCAAACCC